AAACACTCTATTAAGTACTCCAAATCATCATGATGCAAAGTAGTAGTTAGTCCATCAGGATAGCGACTTCCTCTACGCCCAGCTCTTCCGGCAATCTGTTTCACCTGCGATGCTGGCACTGGAACCATTTTATCACCATTGTACTTTGAAAGGTTATAAAAGACAACCCTTCTGATATTTAAATTCAAACCCATTCCTACAGCATCACTTGCAACTAAGACATCAAACTCATTATCCTGATCATTAAACAAAGTCGCTTGCTGTCGACGAGTCTCTGGTGGTAAAGCACCATATATGACGCAACAACGGTGATTAGTATACTTCTCAATTGCCAATTTAACTTCAAAAATTTCTCTCCTTGAGAATGCCACAACACAGTCCCCAGACCTCACATTTTTCAGATCTCCCAAGAGGGTCTTTGCTTCAACCACTAGAGGCTTAAACCTCTCATAATGTTGTTCTACTAATTCATCCCCAGTATCAGAACAAATCTTCCTAACCATATTCAGAACACTTGGATCACCGCATAAATGTATCTCATCAGCTTTCAGCCCGAGCAATGCCCTAGTCCAAGCATAACCTCTACTAGAGTCGGCCATCATTTGAATCTCATCAATAACAGCCACATCATACAGCTCATCTGTTGACACCATCTCAACAGTACAAGCAACATGGTTTGAGAATGGAAAATCCTTCTTCTCTTGCCCTGTAAGAAGACTACAATAAACCCCCAACGTGTTCACCTTATCGAAAACCTCCATTGCCAACAACCTGAGAGGGCTACAGTAAACTCCCTTCTTGGCTTCCATAAATCTCTGCAATGCGTTATATGTTTTGCCACTGTTAGTTGGTCCGCAGTGATAAATAATCTTCCTCTTCATTGCCCTAGCAAAAGGGAACCAAGTGTGTGGCTTCGTCAAGTCAGCTGAGTCCACCATTTTCCTAAACCTCTTAATCTCATCTGGAAACTCTTCTATACAAAACTCAACAAAAATGGGGAACAAAAACTTATCGGCCTCGTCACCAGGGCCAAGCGATACCAAGTACTTGACTAAATCAGTCTTGCACTTCTTGAAGAAAAACTTATGGAACTTGTGAACAGCAGTGGGAAAAAATGAGGCACCAACATAAACAGCTAGGGCCTGGTTCGATGCCCAACCGGACTTGGAAAATGACCTAAAAATCTCAGTTAAAGTATCCCAATCAGCCCGGCTTTGCTTTTCAGACTTTACAGCATCTCTAATATCTTTATAAATTTCCCCTGGATCACGGTTTGCTATCTGGACAAAATTCAATCTTTCATGTTCTGACCCAGTATCTTCATAAGGGTCAAGTAAATAGGAGAGACATAATCCATCGCCACCGCATTCGGATTCGCGTCCTATCTTTTCTGATAAGTTTGAAGCAGGCTCCTTTTTTACATTGTCCGAAAGTACGCAAATCGTGTGTACACGGAAGAATGGAAAAATGTAAAAATCCGAAAATTGGGTGAAGTGAGATGGCTTAAATTGGATAGGGTTGGTAATTTGAGGATGAGGGGAAGGGTAAAATCTGGATTCAAATGGGTGTAAATGATGGAGGAATCGATTGGAATGAAGAAAACTTGTAACCCTAGAAAATTTGTTCTGGGAGGAATATAGATTTAGGAGGTGTCTTATAGGACCTCTTGCCATACTTAAATACCTGAAAGAGACAAAAATGATACTTTATTATTTACATGGAAACAGAATGAGTGCACAAATGGAAGAAAGTAATATTTAACAAATTTGCAGAGGCATACCTGGTTGAGATTAATTGTTGCAGAGAGAATGAGGAGGGGAAATAGAGGGAAAGGAATGGTGGGTGTTCTAACAGCAAAATCCTAAACCCTGCAGACGGCAATATAACAGAAAATTGTTACTCAACACTGTATCATAAATATAACTATCAAATTAATTCCAAAAAAAAATAAAAAATAAAATCATAGATTATAGTACCCGTAATGAAAACTACAACTCTAACATGCCAAATCTTGCACTTCGATTTTACTTCTTATTTTTACATATTTATTTCTGTGGATGTTGCTTGTAATTTATATGTCCATTGAGAAGATCTAAATTTTTTAACTTCAAGAAAGTTATGATAAAGAATAAATAAATATAAAAAAGTCAAGGATAATTAAAAAATAGTGTTGACCAATTTAATAATCTTATTTAAGACATTATTATTAAGAATTATTTGTGATGTACATCAACAGAAGAAGAGTTATGTTTGATCAATGTTGTAATTTAGGACAGGACAAAGTTCAACTGGAAAAAAATTGGGAAACGAAGCTGAGTTATGTCGTAAAAATTGTACAAAAGAAAACCAGTAGGAAAACCATTCAACTGGCNCTGTGCCCGGATGATCCGGCACTCTTCTTGCTTCGTCTGGCTGATCCGACTCAGTGATTATTTCGTCTGGTTGTACCCTCATTCCATCCATCCCTTCCCCGGTAGGTCGAGCTATTTAACCCTCTCCCTTCGGTCGAGCTGCTTTAAATCCAGCCTTGCCTTCGACGACGCAAACTAGGAGTGACCATTGTTTTCTTGTAGTTTCCATATGTCAGTGACCTTGTCCGATAGGTTGCCAAATGGTGCAAGTGTTACTTAGGTGTTCCCGATCGACTAACTGTTGTTGTCGCCAAAAATGTTTACTCATTTGACACAGAAAAATTTCACTTATGCAAATCATTTCCCACCTAAGATATAAACATTTCTTATCTTAATACAAATTTATCCTTCACATGCACTATGCTCAAGACAACGGCATAACATCATAAGTAACATTATGGTCTGTGGACTAATGACCCACACGACCCAAGGCAATCATACCGCACAGTATATAGATTGATGATCCACTTGCACCATGGAAAATCATAAAACCAAGCTGGTGGCTGCGGTGTCATAGCATATGGGTGATACAAGAAATTTATTTATCATAAGACACGCCCTTGAAAGGGTAATTATTTTTCTTTTATTTATAAAATATGTTCATGTGAAGCAATTAAATCATGCTCGTAACGAGCAAAATACTTCATTCATGTCCTCATTTCTGTCACAATTACAATGCATGCATGTATGTGAAATGTAAGTGCCATGTTATGCTAAATACGAGGTACTTATCATTAAGTACAACATATAAATTTCAAAAATTCATATCATGGCCACAAACATTTATAAAGGCATATAATTTTCAGAATGTATCCAACTCATAACATAATATGTAATGCATATATGTTCATGAACTATAGGTGAATATGGATCTTTACTTACCTCACATCCAAGTACCTAATACCCTCACGTGTCCAAGAGATCCCATCAATTTTCACAGGATATCATAAAAAATGTTCCTAACATTTGCGATTAAGAAAAAAAAAAGGAATAAGACCTTAGTCACTTCCCTAATCCATAAATCCCAATTGTAGTCGCCAAAATTTTGTAGCCCTTTTCTCCTATCACCAACTTATATGCTTCATTTACAGACTTTAATTGACAAAATTAACCGACACATACCAGATAAGTTTTCGATACCAAATAAATGTAAGAAAATCCCAAAAGCCTATTTCTTTTTTATATGAACAGTAACTTTGTGTGATATTCACAGCCTCCATTTCCTTCTCTTTTTGACCCAAAGCAGAAATTCATCATTCGCTTCATGTTCAGACCCCCTATCCAAGTCACTGGAGTATATTAAACAATCAGAAATCATAGATTAAAGACAGTCTATCACACCCGTTTCCATATTTTATCATTTAAACACATTCTTCATTCATATGTTGTTCAGTTCGAATCTTCGTATAGAACCACCAAAACAAGATATGAACCATCAAATATACGCCATAAAAGAATTACTCCCCAACCAAAGAGCAATTTTGAGAAACTCTAACCAAAATCCCCAAAATAGTCAAGAGATTTACAGAGAATTCATTCTGTTTTGTCTACATGGTATTAGAACCTAGGTTTTTCCTAACCTAGCAAACTAATGGTTGAATTCAACAGTCAAAAATCCACCACCTCCGAAAACTCACAATCCAAAACAGAAAACACTTCCCCATTTGGCCCCAATGGATTCGAAAATTCTTCATTCCAACTCATAGTGGAAAAACTGAATGGAAGAAACTATTGAGAATGAACCCAATCCTTATTAGAAAGGGAAAACTGGGATACCTCACCCAAGATACAAAGAGGCTAACCGATGTTAAGCTTCTACCTAGATGGAATTCTAAAAATTCTATGGTAACGACATGGCTTGTGAATTCCATGAAACCGTCCATATGTAAGACATACCTATTTCTTTCCACCGCAAAAGATGTCTAGGAGGCAGTGAAGGAGACTTAGAGGGTGTTTGGTGGAGATTAAAATTTAATTTTTAGTAGATTGTGATAGAAGTTTTTGAAATGTGTGGATGAAAAGTTGTGGATCATGAAAGATGTGGTTAATATTGATTGTTTGACTTTGACTTCGATTAAAATCAGAGTTTAATCCGGACCAAACAGAGGCTTACTCAGACTCAAAAAACTCTTCACACATCTTTGAAATTATACAAGAAGAAGTAGGAGAACAAGAGGGTTTACAATAGAATGTGTCACCCTAGCTTACAATATTTGAAACATGTATTACCTTCCATTTTCAATAATCAAACGTTGAAATTTAATATGAAAGTTGTGAATTTGCAAAACATAAACGTACATCCAAAAAAAAAAAAAAATAGTCAAGAGATTTACCTCAACTTAGAAAGATACACTCTTGATCTTCCTTTCACAAGCCAACATAAACTGTAAATTTGCGAAAATTTGAGATGGGTCAGAGGAAGTGAGGAAAAATGTGAAAATAAGAAAAGGGGATCCGACTGCCTCACTCCAAATGAGAGACCAAATTAGATACATGGGCATTTTAGTAAGTTTCATAGAAATTTCTAATTTTCTCAAGAAATATAAGTAATAAATTCTTATACTTACCATGTCATAAATAAAAATGTAAAACTCACCATAGTGATCATAAATTTGATCCCAATAATTTTCTCAAATTTTTAAATTGCATGCTCGGCCCATACGCAATCAATGATTTATTTTCAATTTCATTATCAAAAGTATAAATATACAACATGTCAAATGCATATAAACCGCATATCAATCATTCAAACGCGTCATTATGCACTTAGTCTTTATGAACACCTCAATTTTTTTGAAACTTTTTAGATTGTACAGTCCATGTCAAATTTTTCCATAATAAACAATGTCACCTCAAATATCAAGCAACCAAAAATATATTTTTTAACATAATAATCCATGACCAAATAATGTCTCAATCTCCATATATCACAATAACATTCAGTGCCGGACCTGTGTTTTGTGGGGGTCTGAGGCGAAATTAAAATTTTGGGCTCCTAAATCATAACGAACAATTATTTTTCATTTATAAGAGATTTGCGGAACTAAATTTGTTAACTTAAAATCAAAAAATAAAACAACAAATAAAATGAAATATTTAAAATATGTATATTATAATCAAATAACAATGTAAAAATGTTTTAAACGATCACTTAAATACAATTCATCTTGGGGTTTTCAAGGCAGGTTCAATCATTTTTTTGTTTTTTTCCGTTCACCCACATTATCATTATCATTCTGATTCTATTATTCCTCAATCACTAAATTTCCTGATGTTCCTTCATTCTCTTTTATTTTATTACCATTAAAGTACTTATACATATCTCCGGCCTTGCTTCGAATTAATGCCTTTCCTCTTTCTCTATTCGGCCCTTTTGAGCTCCAAATGCATATTTAGGAGCCATGATATTTGACTCAAGTCACTCAAAAGCTGACACTTACTGAAATTGAGTGTAAAAGAGGCTCAAATTAGTTAAAGAAAGAAATTCAAAATTGTTGACCCAATCACAATTCACAGCTTATAATAAAAGTGCTCAACTTAATATCAGCCATAATTCACAGTTTATCAATTCTAGAGTTTTAATTGCTGACTTGCTGTTAATCAACATGGTAAAATTAATGTAAGTTGGTCAAAATTAAGAAATTAATGTTACGTATCTAGTAAATTAATGGAAAAACCTAAACTTTGTTAATTACTAAGCTCGATTAGTTATTAATTTTTGAGATTTAACTTCCATCAACAAACTGTTGAGCAAAATTTTATTTCGTGGGCAAAAAATAAATTTTTCTTTTAAGCAGTATGATTTATGAATTTCAGGAAGAATAAGGCTTATTCAGAATTTTAGTAAGAATAAGGCTTACAGGTACATGTAACGACTATTCAATAAGCAGTTAAGCAGTATGAATTTCAGAAATTCATTAATCAAAACTGGAATACTAGATACACTTCAAAGTTCAAATCTTCAAGATATTGCAACAAATAGACAAAGAACCCAATTTGAATCTCACCCAAAAACAAGAAAATGAATTAATAACAAAAGAATAAATGGTTTACCAAGGAAAATAGACCGAATGATGCCGTCTTCGGTTGGATTTTGGAGAAGTTGCAGACTTGCAGAGTAGTTTCGTTGGTCTAGGTAGGACTCTAGGTTTTGATTTCTTGCTGTAGCTACCATGGAGCCGAGGTTTGCCAACTTGAAAGTTGAAGATGAAGTTGGGTTTAAAAAAAAAAAATGGAAACAAAAATAATTATTTTGGCCCCCAAAAATGCTAGGCCTGAGGCAGCTCTTGGACCTCTCCTTAGGTCCAACACTGGGTTTACAATGGGGCTAGGTTGGGAGGCCCTTCCCGTCCTCTTTCTTGTTGGGGATTTTTATGGGAAAATTATACAAAACCCTAATTTTCAAGATAACTTTTCAAAAATGAAGTTTCACTTTTCAAACATCACACATTTTATTTTAAATTTTAAATATTAATTATATAATTTTCATCCCAAACCCTAGAAACCATTTTCATTATCTTTCTCTCTCTGTCTTCTCTCTCTCCCACCTTCTCTGCCCTCTCTCCTCTCCATCTTCTCTCTCTCTACCAACCTTCATCGGTGACACCTCCCATCTCTGCTGGCAACGTTGATGCGCTCATCGTCGCATTGTGCAGATCCATCATTCTCCCTTTTTTTGAGTGATGGTGATTGACGGTTCGATGGTGGAGGTGCGGCGTGCTATGGTAGGAACGGAGATCGGGTGCTGTGCGCGATGATGTGCTTTGGTGCGATGGGGGTGGACAGGGGCGGACCCTGGAAATTTTTCCAGTGCAGGTGGTATTTTTAAAAAAAATTATAATACAAAAATTATACTAAAATAAAATTCCTTACAATTTTTCTTCATAAGTTTTCATACTTTGATATCTTTGTACTAATATTAGAGTTGTAATTCAAAATTGGAATCCTTAATCCAGGATCGATGGAAAGTTGTACAATATCAAAATCGTCTCCATTTGACGTCTCCTCATTAACATTTTCCTCAACCTCAAGACCTTTTTTTTTATAAAATCTTTCTAGACTGACTATAATAAAGAAATAAGACTATAAACGAGACAATAAAATAAGGAAAGTGAGCTGGTATAAACGAAACAAAAGAGTAATTCTTATGTAAGTAGCATTATGGAAGCCTGGTTATCTCAAATCTATTGTTTTTCACTAAACCATCTTTAGTCCCCTTAAATTTTTATTTTTTTTATTTGAAAGGAAATGTATTACATTTATTTGCAAAATATAAATTCCCAAGAGTCTTTCCAGCTCATCGATGACAAACAAACTAATTCTTTGAAAGCATCTTCAATCTGTTTCATCGTAGTTTTTGAGTCGACAATGAGATAATTCGTTTTCCTCCTCAAATCAACATTGCAAACTCCGGCCAGCAAAAATCCAGTAATTGTATCCTCATCAGCGATCATGGCGATGAGTGCTGAACTGCTTGTACGGTATCAAAAAATTTAAAGAAAACAACTGGGGATTTGGGTTTCACTAGAAGAAAGTTTTAGTCCCCTTAAATAATCCCTCTAATCTCTCTTTTTTCCATACTCCAAACTGCCTTTCATCACTCTCAATCTCTCTAAAACAAATCTTCTACTTTCTGTCTCTAAAACAAGTCAACACTTGTAGCAGATGAATACCAGTATAAATTACAGAAAACTCACCTACAGGGGCGTGCGGCAGCGGTGTCTCAAGGAGTCACGATTTCAGACTCTTCTCTGTTGATGCAGGCGTGGTTAATTCACTAGTTATGGCCTGAGTTTCAATTTAGGGGGCTTTTATCATACATTTTGGGCCAATTGGTTGGGCCACCTTTTTTTTTTTTTTTTTTTGTTTAAGGATTGGGTTTCTGAAAATTTTGGGAGCCCAAACCCAGTGCAGGTAGATGCCTGCACTTGGCTTAAGCTGGGTCCGCCCCTGGGGGTGGAGTTGTACAGTGCTGTTAATAGGTCGTATGTGGAGTTGTGTCGTGTGGTGCTGTGGAGGTGATGTTTGGGTGGTCTTAGTGGCGGCAGTGGATCAGGCTACTGATGGTGGATTTCTATTTGGTGGTCGTGCTGTGGAGGTCAGGTGGTGGTGGTGTTTTTATGCCGTGTGATTT